TTCATGTCAAACGGGTACAAAAATGCGCCACGGAGAGTGCCAACATTTTTTGGATACCCGAAACTATCCAGTGGCATCCGTTGGAGGACTTGGAACTGAATTTGGTTTTGTGCCCGAGACGAAGGCGAGGGCGCCCTCAAAACATGGGAAAAGAGAATCGAGGATTTCATCCAGGGACCGATCTAAAATTGGACAAAGTGGCCTGCAGCAACTCACAAACATTTTCGTCGCAACACCTTCTACATGAAGTCACGAAGGTGTAACGCCATTTTGACACCCCTGTGTCCCGAAAAACAATTAGGAAAGTGTTTTACACTTTGACTGGAACGGGCGCAAAGCAAAGCAAAGGAACGGTGCAACGTATACCTTGTGGTGGTCGAACCAAGCTTGTCCAAAGTTTGTGGAAATTGATATCAAGTCGCTGCAGCTGCTAGCCAAACACATCAAAGAATGCTTGGTTGTTTTGAAAACCTGTTGCTGCACACTCCCCACTTTACATATTTTTGACCCATTTGTGACTGCAGGTAACCCTTTCGTTCTACTCCTTTGTATGGCGCCAGACCTGTGTGTCTGTGTTGGATGGTGTGTCCTTGCTCCATTGTCTTGCGTTGCATTGTCTCCCTGCGTTAATGTTGCGCCAGCCTTCCCGAGGTCTTGGCTCCCCTTGTCTCCGTGTCTCCCTTCTTATTTCGCTTTGTTGGATGGAGGGTCCGGCTTCCCGAGCCCTCGTCTCACCTTGTCTCCCCACATGCGTGCCTGTGTTGGGTGGTGTGCCTGCTTTTCCAAGGTCTTGCCTCCCATTGCCTCCCATTGTTTCCCATGTGTCCGTTTGCCGTGGTTTTGTCTCCCCTTGTCTTCCCACATGGGTGCCTGTTTTGGATGGTGTCTTCTGGATGGTGTTTTGAGGCCTTGTGTCCCATTGCGTCCTAATTATTGGATCCCATAGTTTCCCATTGTCTCTCATTGCCCCCCTTTGTCCGATTGTCTCCCATTGTCCCCCATTGTCTCCCATTGTCGCCCCACATGTGTGCCTGTGTTGGATGGTGTGTCTGTGTTCCCGAAATCACGTCTCCTTTTGTCTCCCTTGTCTCCCAGGTTGTCTCTCTTCTTGTTTCCCTGTGTGGCGGGCGTTTTTATTTTTCATTTTCCTGCAAGCAGTATAATTTGTTAGGGGTTGTTAATGCTTTTTGAAGGTGTCCCGCCTTGGTGTTGGATGGTGTGTCCGCTTTCCGTAAGTCTTGTTTCCGATCTTGTCTCTTCTTGTTTTTTTTTGGTGGTTTCATTTTGCATTTTCCGCAAACAGTCAACGGTAAGGGGTTTTTAATGCTTTCTCATGTTTTTGACCCTGTTCCCCAAAAAACACTTCTTGTTTGACCCTGTTCCCAAAAACACTTCTTGAATCCAGCCACTGTTTGGGGTGTTGTATGATGGTGTAATTGTTGAAGAACAAAGCTTGTAAAAAAAATGATTGAAACTACCAACAGTTGGTTCCAACTTCTCGCACGTGTGCCGGCTCATGCCAGATGATTTGGAACTTGCGCTCCCAGGAACCACCTGAAATTCGACCGCGCGAAACTACTGAATCTGTTCGGCGCGTACTTTTCAAGAGCGGCGGGCTTGATCCAGACTGTACAGGTCATGGGTGTGAACTTTTGGATTAGATTGGTGGAAGACATGCCAGGAGATTGAGTTGGTATACAGAAGCAGGTCCGCCAAGTGGGTTTGAGGTGTTGTTTGTGTCAATGTTGCTATAATTGCGGCTTGTCCTATTGCAATCAGCTCCTTGTAACCGTTTCTTAATTCGAAGGTGTGAACAAAAACTATTAGTCTATTGGTGCCGCCCGTGCTTCCACTACAGCTGACATGCCACGAAGCAAAACTGGATGTTTATGATCGGACATGATTTTTGTTTTTGTTTTTAAATGGGTTTCCGGCGCGGAAAAAACCAAAATGGAAATCGCATCACCCCGCAAATTTTGATAATACATGTGAAACCGTTCTCTTGATTTGATAACCTCAGCTAAGTTAAACAAGCAAATGGAATTGATAACGTTGCATGGGTCATGAATGGCCCCATTATTTCACTGGACGGGAAATGGCTGCGTCCTGTAGCGATTTGCTCATTGCAGCCACGGCCGGTTTCAAGTCTGCATTTTATGCGCTTGAAGAATTAAATAAGCCTCGGTGGTATCCCCAACAGTCGCAACGTTTTATTTCTACAAATCTTTCCGAAGCGTGCTGCGAAGCCAAGCGCTGGAAACACGTCAGGTGGGTTTCCGTGAGTTCAATGGCCGCAAATCCTGGTGAACCTTACCTGGCTCTGCACCAAAGCGTACCTTCTCCGGAACCTTCTCCAGAACCCTGTCGAACCTGACCTCGCTCTGCGCCAAAGCCTCCCGGAACCTTCTCCGGAACCTTTTCCGGAACCCTGTGCAACCTAACCTGGCTCTGCACCAAAGCCCCCCACACCTTCTCCGAAACCTTCTCCGGAACCCTATTGAACTTGATCTGGCTCTGCACCAAAGCCTCCCAGACATTTTCCAGAACCTTCTCCGGAACCTTGTTGAACCTGACCTGTCTCTGCACCAAAGCCTCCCAGACGTTCTCTGGAACCAAGCCTCCCGGAACCTTCTCCGGAACGTTCCTCTGGCCCCGGAACCTTCTCTGGAACCAAGCCTCCCGGAACCTTCTCCGGAACGTTCCTCTGGCCCCGGAACCTTCTCTGGAACCCTGTTGAGCCTGACCTGGCTCTGCACCAAAGCCTCCTGGAACCCTGTTGAACTTGACCTGGCTCTGCACCAAAGCCTCCCGCACCTTCTCCGGAACCAAGCCTCCCGACATTCTCCGGAACCTTCTTCGGAACCAAAGCTTCCAGACCTTTACCGGAACCTTCTCCGGAACCTTCTCCGGAACCCTGTTGAACGTGACCTGGCTCTGCACCAAAGCCTCCCAGACCTTCTCCGGAACCTTGTTGAATGTGACCTCTGCACCAAAGCCTCCCAACCTGAACCTTCTGCGGAACCTCGTTGAATGCACCAGTGCACACCGGAGCTATTCTGGGTTGAAGACCGCATTAGCTTACGCTTTTGGGGAAACAAAGAGTAACTAATGTGTTTTGGCAAAGGAATTTGAAGGTTTATTCTGCATGAAGCGGGTTGGACAACGTGCGGATGCCATCATGTCATTGGAGGGCGTGCGCTATGTGTGCTCCAGCCGCTGAAACATCACACATGGAGTGTGAGTACCCGTACAAGGGTTGTCACCCGAAATGTGTTTCGACAATTCTTGGCAAAATAGTTTTTTTTTTTTTTGCGAAGGAAATTTAGGAGTCAAACTTCCGACAATATGGACAGATGAAAAGCAGAGATGGGAAGAGTGAGAAAAGAGAAAAAAAACCCCAAATAGATGCTCACCCAAGCCTAAATAAACCGTAGAAGATACCTCAATACACTTAGACCAGGCTTAAATAGATCCTAAACCAACCGTCAACAAAGTTTAAACCAACCCTAAATAGGTCCTGAACCAACCTTAAATAGATCTTAAACCAAGCCAAAAAAAAACAAACCCTAAAATTCCGAAGCAAACCCAAGAAACTAAATAAAACTTAACCCTAAAACCAGCCTTGAAAAAACGTAAGCAAACAAAACCCCTAAACTAACCCCAAAACCAACCCTAAACAAACGCTAGTTGCAAACTACCATGTTACATAAACAGTTCGAACTCAAAAATGTTGCAAATATCGTTGAAACAGCAGCTTCCTCTCCAAAATGTCACAAATTCCACAACTGTTGCCAATGCTAATGGAAAATGAGAGGTTTCAACTCCAAATGTTGCAAAAAACAGTTGAAATGGCAGCTTCCAGCTCCAAAATGCCGAAACTAGCAAGGAAAACGTGCAGAAAAAACGGATGCCAAAAGAAAATTCGAAACGGAAAAAAATAGTTCCCCAAAGCAATTCCGGACCCTTGAAAATTTGAGGAAGTCTCGCAGAGTAGTTTCGTTTTTGACGTTGTCAAATTCAAAAATTGAGGAAACCTTGCAGAATTGCTGCGTTTTCGATGTTGTCAAGCTCAAAAACTGAGGAAGTCTCGCAGAATTGCTGGGCTTTCAAGCTTGCAGATTGCAGATAGACAGACAGACAGACAGACAGACAGACAGACAGATAGACAGATAGATAGATAGATAGATAGATAGATAGATAACTACTACAACTACAACTACCACTACATGACACTACTACAACTACAACTACAAATGCAAATAACTGCCCGACATCACACTACACTAATTACTCTACACTTCACTAATTACATCAAATTTCACTACATTACATTAATTACATTACAGCTACAACAACAACTGCTACTACCACAACTACAGCTACAATTAAAATACGCCACATTGGACCGCACTGCACCAATTAGATTGCAGCACACTGAAACTACAAATACAAATGCAACTACGACTATACGACATTACACAACACTACGCTACATTAATTAAATTACATTACACAACAACTACAACTACAGCTACAACAGCATTCATTACCTTACACTAAGCTACACTACACTTTACCACACTACAGCACACTACACTACAGAACGTTACAGCACACTACAATACATTTAATTACGCTACACCACTCCACGACTACAACTACAACTGGAACTGCTGTCACTCCACTACGCTAATTACTCAACATTACAACTACAACTCCGCTACGCTACACTACAACTGCACTACGCCACACTACATCCAGCAATTGTGGTGAGGTGGGCGCTGCGCACATTGCAGCCATTCAAAAAACACAACTCCAACCACCTTTCGGTCCATCAGTGGAGGATTCGCTGTGCCATCCGTGATTCACAACAGCCAGCCTCTCCTATAGGTATTTTTGAAAATTCCGCCACCGCCTGGCGGGTACTAGTGCTGGAATTTTTAGGCAAAACTTGAATATGGATGGCAAGCGAGTCACGTTTTTCCACTTATCACAGATTGTCCCAGTTCATCCTTGGCATACAATATCCCCGGCCGAAACTTCTCATGTCTGCCACTGCCAGTCGCACTGAGCCAGGCCTGCCACGAGGAATGTTTCACATTGAGCATGCCTAACATGACGTGCATTTCTTTTATGTTTCCATGCTGGAGAGGTGATGACAATGGCAGCAATGGCAGTGCAGAATGTGACAATGCGAATGCCTCAGTTTTTTTTTGTTTGAACCGTATGTATATGACTGGATGTTCCACGCAGGGATGGGGTATATAATTCAGTCTGCGACATGGCTATGTTTTTGAATTATATTTTCTCAATTTTCAAAACATTTGCTTGCCTAAAACGGTAGTGAGCGGGTGTCCTGAGGTCAGTGCAAATTTCAGTCAGAACTGCAGCACGGACGCTGATCAAAATTTAACAGGCAGAACCTGGATGACAGTGAGTGGTATACGTTGCCGCTATTTGAAGTGTGTTTGATCTTGTGATCATGTCGGAGGGACATTTCATGCGTTTTTCCAATGAGACATTTTATTTTTGGGACCAGCAGGCATGTGTTCTGGTTGGCAAACCGTATGATTCTTCCCCCTTGGTTTTGTTTTAACTCGCTTGATTTGGCGGTTGGCCAAGCGACAGGGAATGCTGATGGCGGTTGGCTAAACGACAGCAATTTGACAGCTGGAGGTGCCAACAGTATGCAAGTTGCTACGGTGCTACATGATTGTTTTCCATGTCCAATCCCTTTTTTGTTGTGCAGCATGATGATCTTGAGATGCATGTGCGGTCGATAGCCACGTACCATGCAGCATTGTTATTCCTTTACCATTTTGTTGACATTTCATACATTTCGTCCAGGTGCCTTCTCCTTGACATACAGGGTCAGCACAACAGTGCCTATGGGGCCTGGAAGCACGTCGTCGTTTTCAGGATTGATCAGTGGTACCTTGTAGTTGGACCACGGTGCATAATTCGCCGTAGTAAAATATGCATTTTTTGACTATTGGAGGGGTTACGCTGGGGTGGGGTGGGTGGGGGGGTGTATTAACGTTCTGACGACCACGTCCTTGATACTACGTCGACAAGACATGTCGAGGTAACTTGGAAGACGCTCTTGATGCTACGATGATGACGTTGGGTCGGGTGGGTTGGGGTGGGGTGGGGTGGTGGGGTGTATTAACGTTCTGACGACCACGTCTTTGATACTACGTCGACAAGACATGTCGAGGTAACTTGGAAGACGTTCTTGGTGCTACGTTGATGACGTGGGGTGGGGTGCGGTGGGGGGTGGTTGGGGGGGGTGTATCAACGTTCTGACGAGCACGTCCTTGATACTACGTCGACAAGACATGTCGAGGTAACTTGGAAGACGCTCTTGATGCTACGATGATGACGTTGGGTCGGGTGGGTTGGGGTGGGATGAAAAAAATAATCTAAATAGTTTCTACGGACCTACCTCGAACCATTGTTGTTTTTCTTTAGTGTGTGATATGATATGTCGAAGATGCAAAAAATAGATCCACTTTTTTTGGTGGATGATATGATATGTCGAAGATCCAAAAAAAAGATGCACATTGTTTCCCTGTGATGTGCGAACCGCAATTTCCAAAAAAAAGATCCATGAACATTTGGTGAGCAGCACAGTCGTTTACCCGCATTTTGCAGAAGAGAAAAAACAGAGTTTTTGCCAAGAAACACCGCAAACGAAACAAAATTCCCAATGGAATTTCAATGATTTCAGCATCGCATGGAACTCATCAAATGGCCATTTTCCCTCACGGCGAAATATGAGCCGTGAACCTTGTAGTTTCCAACGCACAACCAGGTGCAATCCATCTCTGATATTGCCTTGCGTGCTGCAATTCATTGCCGATTTCGTTTGTGCAGCCCATCCCCTTGCGCAGGAAGAGAGCAATTGTCGATGCAGAGCGAGGTGAGGATTTTTGCAAAATGCGTTGTGCACCATCCTTGTGGATCTGAGGAATACTTTTTCACGAAAGGGTTCATGATCTTGTCCTTCCTGCTCGTGGCAGTCTTCAGCTATAGCTGTTGGAGGTGTGAGTTTTAACCGTGGCTGTTGTATTTGCAATGGATCATGGTGTCTTGCAAAGTGACACGTAGGCAGCGAAGCGCTCGCGCGGCATTGGTGCCGGGGGACATGCAGCTGCATCACTGACATTTTTTTGAAGCCGGCCTCGACGCCTTGATTCAAATTTGTCTGATTTGAGTCTGGTGCTTTGTGAGAATGTTTCACAATGCAAATGCAGTGGACGATGCTAGCCAGGTCAAGTCTTTCTGAATGGATCGGGGGTGAAGATGATGATGACATTCCGATTGCCAGGGGCCTCAGTCAGATGTTCAGGAAAATGCGGCGTAAGAACTTGGTACAAGGTTCCGGCTGTAAGTCGTGCCGTGTTTTTCTAAGTCGTCCCAGGTTCGTGTGCCCAACCTGTGTCTGAATTCCAGGCTATGTGTTTTGATTAATTATTTTGATTTATTTTGTCATGAGATTCGTGTTCCACTCGTGTGCGTATGCAATTCCGTCATGATAAACTGTTTTCTGTCACCCTCTGGATAGATTTCATTTGGGGTTTGGACTTCATGCTATAAGGCACCTGGTTGACAACATAAACATTGAACACAATTGTTTTTTTTTGATGGCGTACATGGACATTGCTGAGAGTTGATTCCATCTCATTCCCTAGATCGGGGGCGATGGTGCACAGGAAAGGCAAGCCTGCATCAAGCGCTAGAAACGTTTATATATGCGCAGTTGAGCCGAGTGTGCCAAGGATAACCTTCAAAGCAAGAAGCAGTTGTCCCGAAACAGGGGGGCCATGAGATTTGATGATGTTCCATGTAATCGTAGCGTGCATGTTGAGACTTGCAAAGAGAAACATGGTGCCTATAACTGGTCCAAGCAATGTGGATATACAACGTATTTGCGTGCAGTGTGCGGTTGATTTTTCTTATTTGACACACATGAAATCCATCATCTTCAGATAGCATCCCAGCAGTGTTTTGCCAAATTTGGGGTGACTTAATGCCCTTGGGTCGAGTTAGAGCGAGCGCAAATAGTTTCAGGCGGTTGGGGTGACTCAACGCGATCTGGGGTGACTGAAGCCGTTTGCTTACACACAGATCACACAGCATGTTTCCTTGGAGGTAGGATTCGATGGCGATTCAGATTGCTAGATTCATTGGCAATCCTCCCATCTTCCCATGATTCCCGATCGCTCCAACTCAGGGTCATAGGGCAACAAATAACAGCCTGTCATGGCCATGAGGCTTTGTAAAGTCATATATTTTCTGTTAAGAAGAGTCAAAGCTGCAACGTGGATTTCTGAAATTCTGGCTGGGTGATTCCAATCGCTGTATAGAGTGGGCCTGAATTTGCCTCGGATCTATGTGCGGTTTGTGTCATTGGTATGGGCAACGCGGCACCTGGCGAATGTGGCAACAGGACTGGGCGTTCCTCCCCTGCAAATGTGAGCGATAAATCAGCTTCTTCCACTGTCAGGCTCCTTGTCTGGGGAACTTACTGGCTGATGCTCTTTAGGTGAGTTGCCATTTGTTTGAACATCACCCCTCTCGCATATGATTCAAAGCCAAAGTGTCTCAAAATCTATCGCTTCACAAAAATCCAACCCTGTATTTCAAGCAGTCACCTGGGCTGGCCTTGAAGGGATAGGATGGGTTTGTTATGGTTTGTTGGCTATGGTATGGGTTCCTTGAGTTTTCTTCCCGCAAATGTAGTCGGTGGCCATGGTGGCCATGGTTTCTCGATGCTCAGCTATTTTTCAAGGTTCATCCGATTCGCTTGTTTGTTCTTCAACGTTCTCAGCGGATTGGTGAATGGCTACGACATTTGCATCACCACCGGCATTCTAGACTTTGTGGATCGGGACTTGATGCTTTGCCATGACGTTGCCCTCTCGACATGTTTCTCCAAGGATTGTGTTGTTCACTTCGATTTTTATGTTTTTATATATTTGTTTTGCCATCCAATAACGCGCGTGAAACCCCACTTCATGTGCCATAAAACCCAGTAAAAACTTGTGCAAGTAGCACGTGTGTGGCACCCTGAGGAGGCAGTTCTTTCTGTTGTCGCTGTTGGGGCGCTCTTGTCTCGGGTGTTGTGCACTGGCATTGCTGACAGGTTCGGCCGACGGGCTGCAATCTTTGCTGCAGATGCACTGATTTTGACATCAATCAGCTTGCAGTCGAGCACCCGCTCAATCAGTGTTTTTTTCCTAGCACGCTTTTTCGTTGGAATGGGGATGGGATTGATTTTTGTTGTTACTCCGACATACCTTTGCGAAATAGCCCCGCAGAGAAGGAGGGGCTTATTTATGTGTTTAAATGAAGTGGCTGTTTGCATTGGATGCCTCCTGGGCTTGCACATCTCATCTCGAAAGAGTACAAGTTTGGAGTGGCAATGGCAAAATGTCGTCGCAATTGCTGCTTTTCCTGCAGCTGTGCAGCTGGTCTTTGTTTTCGCTTTGCCGGAAAGTCCCAGATGGTATGCGCTCCGGGGAGATCTTGACGGCCTTGACAGATCACTTGAACTACTCGGACTCCGCTCTGAAACTGCTGAACTCAGACACCTGGCAAGGGAGCAGCGAGATGGGTGCGAGGGACACGTGCAAGTTGGCCTGCAAAGCTCTGAGAGCCTGTCTTGCCTGTCCTGCCATAGGCAACTCGATGCATGGAAGGAGTTCAAACGTCCATTTCTGATTTCTTTGGGCCTTGCAGCCTTCACCGCCTCAATTGGCAATTTAGCTGTCCAGGCTTACGCTTTCGACTTGCTCAAGGTTTGTCGAGTACAGGATCCGGCCAGCATTTTGCCTTTGATCGGGTAGATGAAACTGGCAGGGGCCTTGTTGGCAATGTTTGCGTCTGACTCCGAGAAGATGGGTAGAAGACGCCTTGTGATTTCTGGAAGCCTTTTATGCACTATGTGTGATGCAGTTCTGGCCATTCATTTGGCATTCCCTAGTCTTTTTGCAGC